CCCCAAAACCCCAAAACCCCAAAACCCCTAATCTCGTTTCTACATAATAGAGCGTGTTATGAAATCAAAATTTATGTATAAGATAATAGCCAAATATATTTAATGATATTGAATCATCTTTCTTGGCTCAAGTATTTCTGAAGAAATTTCGATCTATTTGTTCTTAGGAATTGAGTGATGACTAAAAATTATCCTGTTCATTAGGATGAGGATTATCAAGAAGATCCTAGCTGTTCTCTCCCACTATTTCTTCATCAGCCTACACTTACTGTCTTTCAAGATCACCCTCTGGCTAATTCAGCTATTATGATTAATCTCTTCTTCTCTAAATAACTGCCATTTGTATTTATTGTGGAGCCTGTGGAACGCGCCTTTATAAATCAGGTACTTCTCTTGGCTATGGATCAAAATCAAAACCTAAAATCTCCTGACCAGCAAGTAGATCATATTATCTTTACTCAGAAACCAAGAAGGTATCTCTGAATTTGAGAGGATGAAACATAGTCCATATATCAAAGCCAAGCATAAATGAATTCACTGTAACTAATTAATATCCAGCTCTTGGATTAGTGATGCTGGGAGTATAGCTTCCAAATGGGTTCCAACTATTCATTGATGGCTGTTCAAAGTATTTTATAAACCCAAACAATAGAAGCATAGTAATCGAAGATAGGCAATAGAACATTTCATATTATGCTGCATAGAAGTACTAATTGATGTAAAATTAGAAGATAATGTTCACGATTGTTACTAATTTAGGGAAATATTTTATGCTCGATCTCGTTCTTATAAAGAATAGTGCCATAAACTCAACCCAATTATGATAGAAAAAGTACATATCATTAATACCCTTGGCAATCAAGTGTGGAAATACTGTTTAGTTCCAAAGGAAATAACAAGCAGCAAACATAAAGTAAAATACCATCAAGCAAGCGATAAAGGAGAATATTAATGAGCATTTAGATGATCTCCTTCTATCTAAATATGCAGCTAGTGCACCAATGTGGGGTGAAGATCTATAAATGGCAGCAATTTAAAATCTGTTTAGGTTTGCTCTTAGGATAGATCTTGTGCATGAGAGAATAGGGAATATAACTATATTAGAACAGAGAATGGCAACCCTAATAAGTAGAGCATTAATCCAGGATATGTGAGCATAGGCAACAATGGCACCCAAAATAATCAAGAATTTGTAGAAAATGGTCGTAATTACCCAAAGAAAAGTGTTATCGTTATAATCATACTTAATACTTGGCCTGTATTCAGAATATCTAGAAACATCCCAATACCAAGTCTCAATTGTGTCATTTCTAAAGAGAAACCCTCCTTATCTATAGAATGTAAATAGTACTTGATTAACAATAATGTTGTCAAAGTCACTAAACCATCCAAAAAGCATTCTTACAATAGGATTCTCTGAGATATCGCTCAGTGAAATGATTATGATATGCTCTTTAATATTGTGCTCATCTCTAAATTTAGAACTTCTCATATCAATAATTCCTATTTCACTTGAAAAGTAGTAAGTAGCATATATCTCGCTTTCCATTATATCTTTAAAACTGAGAGCTTTCATTTTGTTTGCCAATTTCAAATTCTCAGCGTACCCTTAGTTTTTAATTACCAAGATTAGATATAAGTCATCTTACGCAAGATCTTTATTCTCTCTGATTGTCATCTATTATGAAGGCAGAAGTACTATCCTCATCTCCCCACTACTATTGTTCTAACTACTACTGTTAACAGTTTACTCATAGATTTTATTCCCATCTTTTTTTGTGGAGTTGAAGTAAACAAACGATCCATCAATCTCTGAGTAGGATATCTTGGTATCATTTAGCAGCTAATATTCAATTTAGTTCTGTAGTATTGCTCCTTGGTTAACATATGTTTTGTGCAGATAGTAAAACTTACTTAAATTTAAAATTGCTACAAAAGGGATAAGGATTATAGAATTTACAAGGTTTTTAATAGAGTCGATTGGAACTTACAAAGTGATAAGAATATGTAAAAGAAAATGTTGATCAGCCTAATTGAAAACTGCCCTTAAAGTAATTTTTCGTGGATTCTGAATAAAGACCTTTCAAATTCCATTTCAAAAAAAGTACTAGTTTTATAAAATATAATTAACTTATTATTTTTAGACAATTTCATTACAGTTTACTCAGTATTACTTAATGGGGTTTTGGGGTTTTGGGGTTTTGGGG